TCAGCTCGAGCCAGTTTTCTTGGGGTGGGCACGAGTTCCAAGATTGGTTAAACGCGCCAAAGATGCTGGGTTTAGAGGCCCCTACGTTTTACACCAAAGTTTATTCGGAGGGGTCTTGCGCGACGTTCCCTGTGGTCCCCTTGGGTCCGAGGGCAGCCGAGGAGTTCGAGTCCGCACGGGTCAAATGATAAAGGCCGGGGGCGAACAGGTTGGGATTTGGTCAGGGCTTCCAGGAGGGGAGGCACATTGCTCGTTACCCCCCTTGCACACTTAAGCCCAGGGCGGCCCCCCCCCCCAGCAGCAGCGCTCTGCTGCTGGGGGGGTGGGGCCCCCCCCCCCAGCAGCAGCGCTCTGCTGCTGGGGGGGTCAGACCCCCCCCCCTAGCAGCAGGGACGGGCTTAGAAGTGCAGGGGGGGTAGCGAGCAGTGTGCGGCCGCTCCAGAATGTCCTTGCAGAGAGACGTTGTTTTGTCCTTGCAACACAGGTCCGGCCATCGTGTGTGGATGTCAGTATCAAAGGCTGCAACACCCCTGGAACCTGCTAGAGCGGAGCTGCCTGCTGAAGTTACTACCTCGCTCCGCCGACCAGCGCCTCCGTCGCCCCGCGCCGGCTCCGCCGGCCAACCGCCCGGGTCCGCCGCTACACCCCGGAAAGGGCAGAGGGACGCGAAGAAAACGGCCGGGGCGCCGCGGCCCGCGCGCGTGTAACGTAGAGACAACAGACAAGAGAAGCCAGAGAGCTCTCAGACACGAACGCGGGTAAACCGAGTACTGCGCAACCGGCCCTGCGCGCAACTGCACTCGCGCGGTGTCGTTGCGCGCGCTAAAGGGGCCGGTTGCGCGCCCAGCGCACAGGGCGCATCCAAGTGGTGGCGCTCAACCCTCAAAACGCCTCTCACCCATGAGCCTCCTCGCGCCACACATGCACAAAGAAGATGCCGGGACCGCGCCAGCGGCCTGATCGCCCCAACCCGCCTTTGCCGTCGCCTCTGTGGGTAGCTGAGCCGGCGAGCGGGTCTAGGGCTGCTTGGCCGTGGCGGCTTTGGAGGCGGCGCGGAGGAGGCCGAGGAAGAGCGGCGACGGCTTCATCGGCCGCGACTTGAACTCGGGGTGGAACTGGCAGCCGACGAAGAAGGGGTGGCCCTGTAGCTCGAAGACCTCCATCCGCTCGCCTAGTCCCGGACAAACTCGGCTTGGTCTCGGGCGGTCTCGCGGCCGGCCTCGCAGGCCCGGCGGCCGCTCGCCCGTCGTGTCGCGGCCGACAAAGTCGAGGCCGGCCGCCTACGGGGAGGTGTCGAGGCGGCTCCGAGAAGGCCCCATCCCCTTTGGGTGGCCGGCAGAGCCGAGGTGGGGGAAAGCGGGAGGGTTGAGCGGGCTTCGGCCTGCCCATATGAAGGCTTTGATGTGGGGAGAGGGGCATTGGGTGGAGAAGCTGCTGCTGAGGATGTGCAATTGGGTGGTGGAGTGAGGTACACATGCTGGGCCGGCCGCCTCGAGCTGCTGCACGTAGGCCGGGTTGACCTCGTACCGGTGGCGGTGGCGCTCGTCGAAGGCGGTGGCGCCTAATCTCGGGTGATCTCGGGTGATCTCGGGATCATCGCGGGAAAGCTCGTCGAAGGCGGTGGCGCCGTTGTACAGCTGCGCGGTGAGGCACTTTGGCGAGCGGAGCATTGTCTTCCTCGCGCCGAGCCGCATCGTCCCACCCATCTGAGTGCGGCTGCCTTCGGGCATGAAGATGATGAGCGGCGTGGCGCACTTCTCGTCGAACTCCGCCGAGTGGGCAGTCTTGACGCCGAGCACCGACCGCGCAAACTCGATGACGGCGATCTGGAAGCCGAGGCAGATGCCGAGGTAAGGCACGCCGTTCTCGCGCGCGTAGTTTGCAGCGAGCATCTTTCCCTCCACGGCGCGGATCCCGAAGCCTCCCGGCACCAGCACGCCGTCTGCGCGCCGCAGCTTGGACCACGCCTCGTCGTAGGCTAGCCGGTCCGACGCGAGCGTTGTCTCGTCGAGGTGCGCCGAGTCGATCCACATGATCCGGAGCTTGCGCTCCACGGCGAAGGACGCGTGCATCAGCGCCTTTGTGACGGAGAGGTAGGCGTCGGACAGCTCGGTGTACTTGCCGACGACGGCGATGTGCACGTCGAGCGTGAGCGAGTCGACGAGCTCCGCGAGGGACGTCCACTCGGCGGCGAGGG